TTGAGCTTCTCCCAATCCCCCTGCGCCCAGTTGTTCCCCACTGGCTCTTCCGTGTGTGTTAGAATACTGGTAATAAGCAATGCTTATTTGAAGCCGGGTGAATCTTTCTGTCGTTCTGCAGCAATACGATTCAGGCTTTTTCAGTCTGTGTCTTTTATGGCCAAGATTTTCAAAAATGGGGGCTTAAAATCTAGTGTGGCCTCAGGAGAGCTGGGTTTGGTTCCCGGCTCTGCCACTGGCCTATTGGGTGACCCTGCGCAAGTCATTGCCTCGTTCTGTGCCTTTATTTCCCCATATGTAAAATAGGGCTGATGGCATTGACCTCCTTTAAGTGCTTTAAGATCTACTGATGGAAAAATGCTATCAATGAGCTAAACTTTAGTATTATTGAAGCTACTCAGTGGCCTGATTTTCAAAGGTTCAGCGCACCCAGCAGCTCCAGCCAGAGACCATTGGGAACTGGGGGTGCTCGGCCCTTTCTGAAAAACAGGGCAGTGCCTTGCTGAGCAGCCAAACTTTAGGTTACAATGGCTGGGACTGTTGGAGGAACCTAAGGGAGTTAGGGACATCACTGGGAGTTGGACACCTAATTCTCCTAAACACCTTTGCAAATCCCAGCCCAAACAGCCACAATGGTAGATGCTTTTCCAGTTCATCTCCTTAGGGCTGGTCCTTTCATGGCACTATTTTTCAGGATGGTATAATTTTGTTGGAGGGGTGGTAAGTGAAGCATTGTGTGTTGAAATTTCATCACTTGAACACATTGTTTTATCAAATCTATATGAAAATCCCCGTCAGTTCAGTGATGAGGCTATGGGCCGTGTGCTCGGATTGGATAAATTGGCAATGCCCAGAATACTTAAGAATTCTAAAAATGTTGGTGATTATTTAAGTAAAAGATCCGCTGATATTTTTTTCCTTACAAAGCATGTTGCCTTAGGTGTTTCTGCTTCTGGGTGACGGAGAACAGAGTTCTCAATATGTAAAAATAAGTCTACTCAAGCCAGAAAGTCAATTTTCACTGTAAGGAAGGCAGAATTAAATGTAGTGATTAGCAGGCGCTGTCGTAGAGTTCTCTGGTTTGCACGTGGAAACCAGTTCTATGCCTATTGGGCAGGGCAATTCGGGACCAGCTAGTGTGAATGGCACGATATTCTGAAAAGACCTACGTTCGTGTAACTCAACAGCAGGGAAACGCAGAACTAGTGACCCTCCAGTATCTGTGCACAGAGCTGTGTTCGATATTAACTCCTGAATTAAACTGCCTTGCTTTCGTGGGCTGAGTGCAGATCCCTGTTCTTTGGCTCAAGAGTTTAATGGCCCTGATTCAGTGAAGCAGCTGGGCTGTGACTTCTGAGAAGCACCTGACTTAGGAGTACAAAGCCCAATGGTTGCCAAGGGGACATGTGCTCTTTTGAAAAGCCCATCTGGAAACACATGCTTAAATAAAGCCCATGGACTTCACCAGGCCTTGCACCTGCTGCAAGTTAAGCAAATGCTGAAGTGTTTTAGTGATGTGTAGCCTCTGCTCTTCTGGCTGAGCACAGGGAATTATAAGGACAGGATGTCAGTGTTTCACACGGTTAGACTGTGCCCCTATTGGGCCCACCGGCATAGGGGTCAGGAAACTCCATGAGATCCTGCTCTCAGGACTCTGGCCCACAAGGGCTGCTGGGGTCAGGGCCAGCTCCATGGAGGCCCAGTGCCTGTGTGTCTGCTCAGAGTCCTCTGCAGCTTGGCCGCCGGCTCCCTGCCAGCATGGCTGTAGTGAGCTGCTCCCAGCGTTGAGCCAGATCCTGCAATCCTTCCTCCGATGAAGTGTCCCGTTTTTCCCCCCTTCCCGGGACCGGCCAGCTGCAGGAGGAAGTGCAGGGCTGCGGGTACGTCTCCAGGGCAGTCAGAGGGGTGATTGTAGCTCAGGTAGTCATACCCACAGGAGCCTTAATCTAGCTAGCAAGCTAAGACTAGTAGCGACGATGCAGAGGTGTGGGCTAAAGTCCAGGGTCTGGGCACGCTTGGACAGCCCACACCACTGCATCTTTACTGCTAGGGCTAGCAGAACGAGCTCAGTCAGTCAGCATGGGCCTGCCTACCTGCATTGCAGTCACACCGCCAATTGCCATGTTTGACATACCCTGACCCTAGACCAGTGGTTCCCAAAATGAAGTTCACGAAATGTTACAGGGGATTCTTGGAGCGGGGGGGGGGGGGGGGGGGGAGAATTCGCTAATGGCCCACAGAGCTGTCCCTCGGGACCCGGGGCAGCATGGGGCCAGCAGCCCGGAGCCTTGGGGACTTCCAAGAACTAAGTAGATCAAAGCAAGGATTATCTATCACACCGAGGAGATTTAAACTTAGACTTGTACAAAATAGAAAGGGAGGTGGATATTTTTTGCTGTTTTTAAAATTAAATAGGCGGCTAGTGTTTTTAAAATTATGATCAAGTTTTAAGCTTTTTTGTACTGTGTGGTGTTTGCCTGGACTGCTCAAGATCTGAATGCTCATGTAGGAGGAGCTCTTTGAGTTGGCTTCTTAAATACCTTCATGCTGTTCCACATCAGATACTCCTTAGGAGCCAGAAGCGCCAGTGTGTATGGGGGAGGGGGGGCGATGAGGGTCAAGTGCTGTCCCTGCATCGGTGACCCCCCCACGGGTACCTTCCCTTTTTTTCCAGTGGCCCCTGCGGGGGCCCCTCCACTTTTCCAGCAATGCCCCCTCCCTGGGGGGGGGCATGGGGGCTTTGCCCTTGCACCCCTTTCTTCTACTGGCACCTCTGATAGGAGCCTCGTCTTATAACAGGCTTAATCAACAGTGATACCAACTATAAAAGTGAGATCTTGGAAGAGTGTCGTTTTTGTAATGTAATAAAAATACTGTAATGATAAATAATAATTAATGTGTAATAAGCATGTCATAAAAACAGATTTTATATTTCCAAGATCACTGCTTTTATAATTTATGCTGAGGTAAGGGAGAAAATCCCTGGAAATACTCATTTTTAGGAGGAGGTTCACGAGACTTGACATTTTAGTGAAAGGCGTTCGTGGGTTGTTAAAGTTTGGGAACCACTGCCCTAGAGTACACAAGCAGTCACTGAGTCATGGAAGAAAAGGAGTACTTGTGGCACCTTAGAGACTAACCAATTTATTTGAGCATAAGCTTTCGTGAGCTACAGCTCACTTCATCGGATGCATACTGTGGAAAGTGTAGAAGATCTTATTATATACACACAAAGCATGAAACAATACCTCCTCCCACCCCACTCTCCTGCTGGTAATAGCTTATCTAAAGTGATCACTGAGAGTGATCACTTTAGATAAGCTATTACCAGCAGGAGAGTGGGGTGGGAGGAGGTATTGTTTCATGCTTTGTGTGTATATAATATCTTCTACACTTTCCATAGTATGCATCCGATGAAGTGAGCTGTAGCTCACGAAAGCTTGTGCTCAAATAAATTGGTTAGTCGCTCAGCTGCCACACGTACTCCTTTTCTTTTTTCGAATACAGACTAACAGGGCTGTTACTCTGAAATGAGTCATGGAAGGTGTCTTTTGCAGCCTCTGCCTCCCTCTTGTGGCTGATGTAGCTGTTACACTCTTTTTGGATTTTTTTGGGGCGTGAAAGCTGCAGATTATTTTGACTTGGCGTGAATGCTTGTTGTCCAGAGGGCAAAATGGTGCGGTGCCACTTTAACCATAATTATATGGCAGCCCTGCGAGTTTACAAAGCCAAATGCTTCAGGCTGAAAAAGTGCCTTGGAGCTGTCTGACGAATGAAAAGGACAGCTGCTCTCATACCAAGGAACCGTCTTGCTAGGATGGTGCGGCAGGACTGAACAGGGCTACAGTTGAGTCTGGCGCTGAACATGCAGGTGGAGAGGGAACAGACAATGGTGTGTAGAATTATAGGTCCTGATTCATTGGTGCCTTGTGCTTCCTGTAGGCAAGTCCCTGCTGATGTGCACAACCACGTGTATATGGCAACGGTGAGCTGTGTGCATAAAGTAGGCTCTGCCTTTAGGTGATTTGAATCCTAATATTTTAAAAAATTCCCTCCAGATGTTTCCCAATTTCTGTCTGCACATATCCAGCCTGCCCCAGGTTCTCAGTCTTGTAGAGGCAGCAGAGGAAACGGATGTAAGGGGAAAGCAATTATCCTCTAGTCCTTTGCCACTTCTCCAAGGTCTCTAGGGAAATGATCTTTGCTTCTCTCTACTTGGATACTTGCCTTTTATTTATTGTGTTAACAGTATAAATCCTTCATTTAAAAACCAAATTCCCCTCCCTTCATGAAGTTTATTGTCTCCCACAGTGCAGTGTTGTGGTGATGTCACACACACTGATGTCAATCAAATTGTGTTATGGACATGGTTGCTTAGTGAATGATTCACCATCTACTTCCTCCAGCAGACGGGCGTGTCAGCTCTGAACCACACTGGATGGGCACGGGCCCAACTTGCTTTTCCTGTGGCCATTTAATTCTTTTTTGGGGGTGGGGGGGTATTTTCTTCCTCATCTGGGGCCTGACTCAAAATCTACTGCAGTCAATGGGAGTCTTTTCACTGGGCTCAAGGGTTTTTTGACTGAGGCCTTAGTGCGGCTGAAAAGTACATTTTTATGCCCTAAAAGTTAGCCAAATCCAAGCTCGTGTTTGTCACGCCGACCAGCACGCGTCCAACAGAGGGACCGTGCCAAATGTCTCAGTACCATCTGCGTCTACTAATGTGCTGCAGCAGCTCCAAGAAAGTAATAACTCTTTTAACGGGCAACGATGCATCGCTTTTTGGTCCAGTCTTCCTCCAGCTCCGTCCCCACAACGTGTGAGCAATGAAGTCCTTGCGTGCCTGTGACCCCCTGCTAAACCCAGGGGAGGCAGGGCAGCCCACTGGAAGGCAGGTGCTGCTAATGTGTGAGGCCCAACTTCATCTTTTATGTTCTGGGTGGTGGCCTGGCCGCACTTTACCACTGTGCATGGGAAAATGGAGCATTTAAAAGACCACATGAGACCAAGAACACATTTTTATTATTTAAATGTTACGCCTGAATATCACACAGGAGGAGGTGCCTTGTGGACACGGATACAAATGCCCAGAGGAACCTGCACGTTGCTTGGAGCTCCAGCCTTGCCAAGCCAGTCACTGAATGGAGTCACAACCTCATGGCAGCCTGTTGCACTGTTCACCATGTTCCCATGAGGCTACTACATTCAGCTCCCATTACAACATCAAACCGTCATGTCATGATTGTTCAGTGCCTGGCCCTATTGTTGGTTGGTCCTTAGCCACTACTGTGATTAACATTAACATTAGTAATAATGGACAACAAATTAATCATCATTCCACTTCTTCCTTGCCTCAGGTTTTTTGGCTGCTGAGCTCATCAAGCCTAGGGATTCCAATACAGCAGAGCACGAGATGGTGGTTACTCTGGAAGAGAACAGGTGAGCATCTCCTATCACTGACCCTGTACAGGCTGCTTCACTAGATGGGCTGGCTATGTGTCCTGCGCAAACTAAAGGGTGGGAAGGGGTACTCAAAATGGGTACAAGTCCCACCCTCGGAGGCTTTTAAATTTAGACATTTAAATCCATTGTTTTTCCCAAAGGCGCTGAGAACCTGCAGCACTGACTGGTTGCGGACCACTGCAGCTAACCCCAGAGAGCACAATGTGTCTCTCCCTTAGGCGTTGTTCCACTGAGGTCAGTGGAGTTACACTGCTTATAAAACCACAGCAAGCAGAGAATCCAGCAGAATCCACTGTTAGATACTGGGGTAAGACTGGTTTCCCAGTGTTAAGTTCTCTCTCCTTGGTTGTGTTGCAGCAGTGCTTAGGAAGCCTGGTCACAGAGCAGGGCCCCATTGTGTTAGGTGCTGTACAAACGCAGAACAAAAAGACGGTCCCTAAGAGCTTACATGTGATGTTGTGAAGGAGTTGTGCTTTCTCTCATCACTGCATTCTACATTCCCTCCCCTACAGCACACTCTGTGAATGGGAATTGTGGGAGCTACAAGGAGCTGGCCTGGAGGCAGATGGGGCTCAAGTACTGTACCCCAAAATACAAATTGATCTACAGCATGTAAGGGGAGGGAGTTCCTAATCCCAGACCACACTACTTCATGAGATGTAAGGGTGAAGATTGGAGCATCTCAGCAGCTGTAAATCTCCACAGCTCAAGGGGAGGTGACAGAACTACCTCATGTTGAGCCAGTTCAGTCTGTCCCCAAGTCTCCCTTTTACTCTGTGAAGTGCAGCTAGCAGCAGTGACCGGAGGAGGAGGAATCCTCCATAGCTGTGAAGATGTGTTAATTACCATTGGTATGACACTGTTCTTCACATGGGCTGAGTAAATGTTGACTCTCCTCTCTTTTCTTGCAGGCATAGTAACAAGTCAACTTGTTTTATTCTGGGGGAACAGGCTCTTATCTGAACAGTAGGTGATGTGCAAGGAAAACTTCAGGAGACTTAGCTAGCAGGGCAAGGCAGGCCAGCTGTAGAAGGGACACACCCATGAAGGGCACTAACTCAGGGAAAACCAAGCTGGATACAGGTAGGCACTATTATTTAGCTCTTTGGATAGAGACACTATTGTATGGCAGCACCTCAGTGTAGGTCAATGGAGTTGTAGTGATACGCAGCAGCTGCGTATCTGGCCCATGGCCCTCTAATGCATTTACCTCATTTCTGGAGCTGATCCTGTTTTGCTTTTTCTCTTACACCAAAGTGTTTGGTACCTTTAAATTAATAGATCGCTTCCATAATCTATGGGGAAGAGCACCCTGCCTGGTGAGTAATATGTAACTGCTTTGGATGACTTATGTTGTCATCTCTCCCTGTGTTAACAGAAGTGGTATCTATTACTTTTCTTAACAGCTGGGTGTGAGGGGGGAAAGTGAGTCAACACCATCCTTCCCTTTTCAAAATTCCTTGACAAAAACAAGGGGGGAAACTTTAAACGTGTTTAACAAGAAAGTGGTGGGTTTCTGTTTCAAACATTAGAAGAGCCCCTCTCTCTAGGCATATGGCCAACATAAGTAATTCAAAGGCTTGCACTTCATATAAAGAACCCAAATAAGTGTGTGCCCCTTACCAAACAGCAGCTCCTCAGCTGTATCATATCTTCTTCCCTAAGGGGCTGCTAATAGGTTTGTAACACAGGTGCTCAGCCTTTTGTGGGCATTACATAACACTTGCAAGGCAATCAAGTGAAAATAAAACACCACAGGCCCCACCTCATGAAGCACTCATGTTTCTGTGATGGTCTAAGCCAGGGCAGGCAACCTATGGTGCACACAAGCTTATTTTCAGTAGCACCCATGCTGCCTGGGTCCTGGTCGGGGGGGTTCTGCATTTTAATTTAATTTTAAATGAAGAGTCTTATTTACAATACTCATTTAGTTAACATTTTTAGAAGGTCTCTAAAATATATAATTTTTTACTGGCATGTGCCTAAATGAAGACTAGACCCACCACTTCTGAAAGATTGCCAACCCTTGGTCTAAGCTCATCCAGCTGCCTGGCTGTATAACCATGTATACAAACTTAATTGAATCTCAACTCCTTGTGCACAGGACAGCAGTGAACTCACTGTGCCTTAGGCAGACTGTAGGCTTCAGGACTATGCAGGCAGGGGAGCAGTTCTGACCATACATTTTCAGAAGCCAAAGTTGGGTTCCTAACTACTGTTTGATTTTAAAAATACTCACACCTGATTAACCCATCATAGGGACTCAGAGCATGCAGCAGTGCATTAAGGAATGAGGCACAAATGGATTGGGGGCTAAGTAGCTTAACTTGTTTGGAAGGCATGGCCCTTATAAACTCCCTGGGTGAGACATCATCCAGTGGTGGCAGGGCCTTGATGCTTAAGCACATGCATAAATTTTATTCTCAAATGAGGGCTTGAGAGGGAGTTAAGTAAGGCCTAAGCCACTAGCTGACCTTCTGCCCAGAGGTGACTTTCAGCTGGGATCACCTACTTCTACTGAAGTCACATAGGCCATGATCCTGTTCCCATTGAAGTGAGGGCAAGGTGTGCCATTAGCAGCACAATGAGAATCTCTCATCCTATGCTTCATATAGATCAGAGCAGTATCCTCTTACCCTTGAAACATCACAGCCTGACCACACAGTGCTAGAAAATTGGGTTCATCTCTGCTAATCAGTAACAGTCACGTTTTACTAAAGTGGTAACAAAAATCTGTGGAAGAAATGAAATATTAATGGAGTCAGGCCTTAATCCAGCAATGGACTAACCCTGTGTTTAAACACTTCCTGGATTGAGGCCTGGTGTTCTAAACTTAATATATTTCAAATGTTTTCTATAGGCGGTTGCTTCTGAGCAAGTCTGTTCCAGGTACAGGGCTTTAACTCCACCCTCAGGTTCTCTCCCCATCTTCTACCACTCCTTCAGTAGGAGGAGAGTACAATTTCAGCCAGCTAAACTTAATACCAGGACTGGTAAACATTCATGACAATTTTGTACAGCTGATTTAAATATTTCCTTGATGTATAAGCACAAATCTACTTAATCAGATTGAAGAAAGGGTTGTTTTGTCACTCCAAATCCAGCCCTCTCTCTTGCAGCAGGAGTCCAAATCCTCTACTACTGCCAAAAAAACCTGTACTTCCGAAAAAGCACGTAAGCAAGTTTAGGAACGACAGTGGCTTTTATTCTTTAAACAAGAAAGGAGGCAATGTAAAATACTCTGCATTCCCTTTGTCACTCCACACTGAAATACGGCATTGATTTGTGGTCAGGAGCAATGAACAGCCACAGTTTGGCAGCAAGTGATTAAAAAAACCTCCCCACAATACACCTAAAAATGACAATCATAATGAACTGAGCCACTGACACTAGAGGGCACTTGACTTACATGTGTAAACTAAGTTACAAGCTTACTTTTTGGCACTTTTCAAGCTCTTCGCTGTTGAATCTGCTTCTGAAGTAGACAAGTGAAAAAGTTTATGCACATGTCCCACAGCAAGACTACATAAAGCATGTAAAAACAGTTACTGGATGGGCTTCACATACTTAAATAGTCTTCTCCTCAAGCAGCAATCTGCGTGGCTGGACTTCATAGGAAAAGATCTCATTTTGCACACGAAGAGGCAGAAGATCAGCTGAAAACAACTGAACAAATTCCATCAACCTGACAGTATCAAATAGCAGCGCTCTCTGCTCATGCCACTTCATACTTAAAAATAGTGATCCCTGTCCAAGGAACTGGTTTAAAATGCACAGGAGCGCACAGCTTTCAGAGTAGCCAGATCAGGATGTTTGTCAGCATTAAAGTCAGTTCTAGCTTAAGTCTACTACTCAGCAATCCTTTATTATTGCACATTCATTCTGTCCGTAATCTTCTTATTTATCAAGAGCAGCGTGCAGGTGAAGGCAAAAGAAAAGTTCCCAATGTAATATCTGTGATAGCATCTAAGTTCTCTGTTCCACTTATTCTGTCTCTTTGTGGTAATGAAAATCCTGTAGAAGACATACTGGGAAGCAAACAGACCCTTAGAGCTACGCACTTCCCTGACCCACGCTTTAAAGAGCAAGGTGGAGATGATGGAAGAATGAGGTAACTCTTCTCCCAACGGGTGTGTACATGTCCCGCTGGCTCTTCTAATGCCCATTAGGAGAAAGGGAGTGGGGGCTTGGCAAGGTGACCATTACATAAAGAAGAAGCTACAGAAGGAAGAAGAAGAAAAAGTTCAGAATTCAACCGCAAAGGAAAAGAGAAAATGAAACATTTTAAAGGAAGTAAGTTGTGAAGGGGAGAGAGCGTGCATATGTGAAGGGTTTAATATGCAGCAGGAGCAGTGCAAGGGGCTTGGCCTACCAAGCCCCTGTTTAGTGAACAGGGGAAGAGGAGCAAGGAATGGGGTTTTAAAAAAGGTAAAATGAACGCTCCCATTGTGAACCGCCTTAGCACAGCCCAAAAGCAATCAACCAAAGAACAAGAAATGTCTATGTCAACATCAAGCAAGTATAAAAACGTCACCCTTGGCATTCACACACGTCCACTTCTTTTTCACCCAACATCTAACAACCACAACAAAAGAAAATTACAAAGGCCACACAAAAACTAGAGTGTTTGGGTAAAAATATATTTCCCCTTTCCCGCTTTGTGTTGGCATTATTTCACATTTGCACCCCAGAGCACATACAAAAAAAGGAACTGAACTATAGTGGAAGGCTATGATTCATTTTGACATCAATAAGACATCTAAGAGGCATACATACATAATTCTGCATTAACACTGGCTGAAGGTATACAGTCATTTGGACAAAAACATGGGTTATTTTCAAAGAGCAAGGTAACAATGTTCTACACCTCTAGTTTAAGGCCATCAGCATATATTTAAAAATAAGTACACAAAATATTCCTACTGCTGTTCACAGCTTTATTTTCAGTTAGTTTAAAAAAAAACAGCCTTCATATTTGTATAATCCCATACTGTCACACCCTGGCCCTTAGGGCCTCATAGATGATAGATACTGTAAATGCGGTTGGGCTCCTTGGAGAAAGGATGTGACAGGAATAAGCTGTTTCTGACACCTTGAGAATGGCAAATCAGAACATGATTCAAATGGACAGATTTGATAACACACACAAGACATTGCTGTATTCCGTCACAACAGTTTAAAAGTAGAATGAGAACTACTTGAAAAAAACCCATTGATTGTGTTAAATAAAATAAGGCTTTTTTTTTTTTAAAGACACAAATTACAAGAGTCTTCTTGACAGGGTTATAATATACAAGGCAGCAAAAGGATAAGTGATCTTGTATTTAGGAAATCTCCCAGTAGCTAGGAACACAGAGTCTGGCTTGGCAGCTGAGAGGATGCATTCTGCAGATCAGTACCTTGGCCAGTTTTCACTAGCTGGTTCAAATTCCAGCTTGGAGACACCACTGAGTGGAATACCTTGTAATTCCCCCTTTCCCATCAGCCACAAAGATGACATGTCACCCCATACTGAAAGATGACATGGATTTTGGTCCAATGGTAACGTTTGGTTTTGTTTTACAACTCTGGGCATGATTGGATATACTCAGGTCGCCATAGTTACTACTGAGGATAAGCACAGTCAAGGTTCTTATATAACAGAGTGGGATTTTCCAGAGCCCTCAGTGTTGGCCTAACTCTGCTCCTTAAAGCATGAAGGGGAGTTTCCCCATGGATTTAAAGAGGAGCAGTGACGCCAATATTGAGCACTCTTGAACAAACCCCTTTATAACCAAGGAGATGTTAAGTCAGTGGGAATCACATGCCTAATCTGTGCTTTTGAAAGTCAACCCCCAATACTCACAACAGTGCATTTTGGAACAAGTATCACCCTTCCCAGGTGGCCAGTATGTCATTCAGACTTCACCTATGGGTTTTACTCCACATCCAGGGAGTGCTTTAATGTGCAGATCTGCACTCTCCATTGTTTGTTCCTGCTCATTTATAACATCCTAAAAATGGACATCCCAGCACCTCTGGGAAATGCAGCATTATCAGTGACTAGTCATTGCTGTTTAAACATCGTACCATTTGCAGATCCTCACAAGCAAGATTTAGGGTTACGTAGCTGTCATCAAAAGCTAACGCTACCTTAAGCTGGAATTTTCAAATGAGTTAGGGGTCCCTAATAGCCAGTAGGAGCTGGTGCTTAACTCCCTTTGGCTCCTTTGAAAATCCCAGCTGAAGATGGTTATTGTTTAATAAAAAGTTTTTAAAAACCCCTCAGCATTGCCACTTGAATGAAAGTTGAGTTTTCTACATTTCAAAAGTGGGCAGAGAGGTCTCTTGCTGCTGTACTTACATGCAAAGGTGAAAGAAAGCACATCCAACTAGATTTGAGGGTATCACTTACTCCGTGCAGAGCCAGGGACTACTGTGAAAAAAGGCATAGATACAGAAAGGAAAGAAGTGCAGCAGTAACAAGCTAAACATGGCCCAGGGATTTTTAAAAGTTAGTGTGCTATTGGGCAAAAAAAAAAAAAAAAAATTAAATTTAAAATTTTATTCCCAGCTTCTCCAAAACGATGGTTTTTGTTTTGTTTTTTGCTAAAAAGAGAAACAAACCAATCCCTCCCCCCAGCATTTAATACATTTGGCAACAGCTTTGTGTCCAAAATAAAAATACCTAGTCTCAGCTAATTTTCTCTGCCAAGCTTCCCTTGAAAGGGTTTTTAAACTGAACAGGAAAAACTAATGTTAAAATTAAGTTCTCTTACTTGGCACAAAAAAACCCCACCTGTGTTAATTAAAAATAGGACACGCACAGATACAGCTGATGGAAGCACACTACACAAGCTTTAAACTTGAGCATATTGCATGATCAAATGCAGCCCATGGTTAGGAAACTGGTTTCATGTGTTCAATACCAAGTGAGTTTATAAGGTTAAGCTGAAGCAAAACTGCAAGGATCTCTGATTTTTACTGCTATTTAACCTGGCTACTGCAACTGTCAGTCCTTCCAATGATTGTGTTCACATGACAACTTAGCTTGAATTTCAAAAGTTTCTTCCCTGCTTTTCCTCTGCTTAAATTTATGCAGTTTGTCCAGCCACCCTTTCCCCTCCCTAAGAGCCATGTTTACACAGTGGGGGGTGGGGGGAAAAAGAACAAAACAACCCCCCACAAACCTGCCTTTGTGACTGTAGTTACATGACCCCTGTGCTTGGGTAGAAACAAGCAAAGTTGGAATGTGTGGGATCAGGTGAAGAGGGTTAATTTCAAGAGTGCTTTAAAGAAAAACAGGAGACTACCTAGCTAGGAGCAGAGGGAAAGCTGGCAGATCAGCAGCAGCAGAGAAAGAAATCCAGAAGTCATAGAGTAAACATGGGTCGCCACTTCTTGGAATGTATCAGAAAGGAAAAGACTCTGTCCAAAAAGGAATGGCATAGAAAATACAAATTAAACAGTTAGGTCAATTTTCACACCAAGGACGCCCTAAAAAAAGGCCTGGCTTATGCTAGACGTTCAGTCACCGTTTTTTAATGCAAACTATTGTTTGCATCCCAAGCCTCAGCCGGCTGCGCAGAGCTGATCAGTGCATTGATGTTGCCTTTGTCAAGCAAGATAGCTATATCTTAGCCCGGTAAAGAGAGCGAACAGCCTTATTCTCCACTTTAGGAGCCCAGAGAAACTGAAGTTAATGGAGTTTTAATTAACTCCTTTAATGGTTCACTGGCACTTACCAACAGAAGACACTATGTTCCAAGACTGATCCTGCAACCACATAAGCATGTGCAAAAATTTACTCCTGTAAGGACTCCTACTAAAGTCAATTGAACTATATTGCATGAGTAAAGTTACTCTTTGCTTATGCATTTGCTGGATGGGGCCCTGCAGGAATCAACGAAGTGTGGAGGGGTGACACTTTTACTCAGGCAATCTGTGGAAAAAGTGTATTCAAGTTTTGGGATGGGATTCGTCACCTGGTTAGTTTTTGATGGGGGACTCTTGATTTCAAAGCAATAGGGGAGGGGGAACCTCCTGTCTTGGGAATTTGCAGCTCCTTTTGATGCATACTGTACAGCTTTTAGTGATTAGCCACAACACTTAATAGAGAAGAGTTATTCCAAAAATATTTAACCTGTTGGGTGAATTACAAAAAGCCAGGCCAAAAGTCATTATCCATAAGGTAAAAAAGTCATGCAAGAATAAAAGCATGCAAGGTCAGTTGCTCTTTTGTTACCTACACACACAAAAACCTAACAGTGGGATTCCTAGTCTTACAAGTCAAGCTATCAAAGAAACACTCATTTAAGTGGACTTCTGGGTTTAGCAATACACTGGGGAGACTCTGGCTAAGTCTGCATTGATTTTATTCGCACTGAATAGTAACTCACTCATAACTTAGCCCCCAGATTTCCATGGGAGTACTCGTGCTATTCTGTGTGAGTAAAGGGAATCACAGTTTGGCCTGTTGAGAGCAGTGTGTGCAAACGAGTAACAGCAGCATTTAAGGCCTGATCCTGAAACCCTTCCAATGTCTTTAAGTGCCCTTGGATCAAGCCAATGACGCACAAGTCTTGCTCTCAATTCAAAGCCAAGTGGCAGGTCTGATCTATTGCTGCTGTCCTTACCAAAGAGAGAAATGGCATCAACTTTTCAAACAAGAACACACCTCTCCCCCCGCACACACTCAATTTCCAGATGCTCACTGCTTCACCCACCTTTCTCCCACCCACTCCATTATTAAATGAGTTAATAGTTATTTGTGTTTAAAACAAAAACCAAACAGATGGCAGACACACGTTACTGCAAAAGCAGGTGAATGCAGGAACATCCTTGGCTTGCCAGGCTTTATGTGAAGCTTGCACTGCAAGTTAAAAAAACAAAAACAAAAAACATTAGAAATAATAGAAACCCAAAAGAAAGAAAGAAAAATGGGAGAGCTGACACCAGCATTCTGCTTCGGTGGACGCCCATGCAAATGGATTATGAAATTAAAAAGGAGTGAAACAAACCTTAAAATTGGAGTCAATTCTATTCTATATGACAAGCAAAAGCAAAGAAAAACTGAGTGGAGAAAAACAAACCAACCACATAGTTAGTCCAAACTAGGTTACTGTTTGATAGTGACTTAGGCCAATATTTTCAGAAGTGGCTAGTGATTTTGCATGCCCAACCTAAGACATCTTAAAAGGGATTCTGAGAGCGGATGCTTCACATTTTCTGAAAACCAGGCCCCTTTAAGGCATCTCAAGTTGGGCACTTTAAGGTCAATCATCACTTTGAAAATGTAGCCGACCGGTCTGATCCCGATCCCACTGAAATCAGCTAGTCTCTCTTCAGTGGGTGTCGTCCCAGGCCCCCATTGAACACCCTGCATGGTGCAGTTTAAGGACTTCTACCATGACTGAATACGGCCTAGTATATTTGCACCCGTTTGAAAATTCCTTTCATTAAAGGAAGAGACTTTCTTGTACTGTTTTACAAAGTGACTTTACATTAAAGAAGCCAAACAAAAGAGTTCCAACTCCTGTGCCGGTCTGAGAAATGGCAGGTAGTACAATGCACACATCTAGGTACGCAGCTGACGACCTATTCAATGGAACAGGCAAGAGCCAAGAAGCATTTCACTGATCTTATTAAAAAGGACCCACTCTGGTTAGACATGTGCCATGACCACACTCGTTGCCAGCAAATGCCTCTGGAACATTCAGGTATGAAGAAATGCCAAGGCCACAACTAAGATTATGGGATCAGGATGGGATTTAGGCAAGCACTTAAGCACATGGCTGTACAGCACCTAGCACAGTGGGGCCTGGTCTACAAATAGGGCCCCTAGGTGCTGTGGTAATGAAAAAGTTAATATACCTCGAACTCCAAGGGGACTTATGCCCATGCTTAAGTGCTGTCCCCACTCAAAATTCTTTCCTCAATCAGGGCTATCAACATCAACAAAAGTTAGAAAAATGTCTAAACTGTAGATGTTCAATTCCACTCATGAATCCATCAGAAAAAACACAGTAAAAAGGAAGTAATAAGGACAGTGGTTTAGTCTCATGGGATGGGACCAAATTCTCTCCAGTGGAGTTAGGCCAGCAGAGAATTTGGCCCTGTTTCATCATTCTGGCTTGTGCAGAATTCTGATAAGTTCTCAGCGGTCCAAGTTACAGATGTGTAATTCCACCTTTAAAAAGAAGCAGTCCAATAAATTGCATTCTGGGGAAGCTACAAGGGAAATTCCGGCAAAGAGCATTTCAGGGATTAGCCTGACTTCCACTGGTAATTGTATAAAACATCACAGTCATGTCACCACAGCTCAACGATAAGAATAAAAAACCTTACCTATTAAAACTGTAGCATTTCATTAGAGTGCAAGAGGAAATTTAAAGGTTTTAGGAACCAAGATATGCTACAATGCAGATGCATCCGCATTTTCCCTTCCAGCTTCTGTTACCAATTTGAACATCATAAAACAATTTGAGCAACTCCCAACAGCTGGTGTGGAATGATACTGAGAGCCGAGACTATTTTAAACATATTTACAAAGCAAAAGTGCATGTTCCTCATGACTGGATTTCTGTGGCAGAATAGAAACCATGTGATTTGTAATGGCAACTAGAAACATGATGTATATAATACACCAATTCCATGCAGGTGCCCGAAAAATTCACAGGAATAACTAGTAGCTAACATCTACTATTAAAAGTTACAAAACCAAACCTCACTGCATATAGCTTCAGTCTGATACAGAAGAGATGAAGAAGCCTATTGCAGATTTTATATAAATATTAAGTTAGCAGCGCCATTTCAAAGATTTCCGAGTAGGAAAAGGTCATCAAAAGTTCCAAGTTACTTAGAAAAAAGACCATACTAGGGGAACACAATGTGGGAACAGCCATGCCAGGCAGGACCCTTGTTCCAGTCTATCCTATTTACTGAAAACGCACAAGGGAGAAATCTCAGCATTCTAGGAAGGTTACTGCCAGATATTATTAGTTCTGTGCTGATCTGCTTTTTGAATTATTTTAATTAAATGAGTTTCCAGTACACATGAAAATGCTGTATTTTCTCTATGGTCTTTGCGTAAGCTTTTAGAGACAGATTCTCAGCTAGAGTAAGCCAGCATGGCTCCATAGGAGCTACATTGATTTACATCAGGTGAGGAACTGGCCCTTCATTATTTTAAATGTCTTCATTGGGCATGACTTTCAGAGCACTGATCCAGCAGCAGAAACCAGAGACAGACACTCTGGCTTCTGCTGGTACAAGGACGAGAGCACGGTGCCGCTGCCCATTGTAGAAAAATATACTAGTGTACATGAAATAAAGTAGAAGCTCACTAGCTCGCTCGAGTCCTCTTATGAATAGTTGAAGTTAGTCAATTAGCAAGTAAGGTCTTGCCCACACTTGAGAGTTAATTCAGATTAAGGTAGGATGGGAATTTAAAGCACACCAGCCATTCCTGAATAACTCCACGTGCAGACAAGCCCTAGGTGACCAAATAAAAAGCAAAAACTGCCACATCATTAATTGCACTTCAACCATTTTTCTTTTGTCAATGACAGCTTAGTGTTCGTTATTTATGACCGTATTTCATAGAATACCAGGAAATGCCCTATGCCATATGTATAATGCAAGACCTTGCTGGATCATTGGCTATTAAACGTTTGCTGAGGTCTGGAGACAACAAAGTTTTGTGTGTGTTACTCAGCTTCTACAGTATCACTCTCTTTATAGGGTATATGATTTCAGTAAAATGAATGTGTGTTTTTATCGCAGGCAACCTGGGAAGAAATCCCAGGGGAACCCTACCCTATCTGAGAATGGCAGAGAGGAAATATTGGTACTTTTTACCCAAGACTGCCCTCAGAATAGGTTGTCCCATTCTGCTATACAGACAATCCATTCTTATTCTACTTCAGCTCTGTCAAACTTGTTTGGTTTCATTGTAAGTCTCCAATCCCGAGACAGTTTGGGGTTTTTTAAAGCCAATAAAGGGAAAAATTCTGCCCTTGGATACATTCTGCCATTCGCAAAAAGAAAAGGAGTACTGGTGGCACCTTAGAGACTAACCAATTTATTTGAGCATGAGCATGCCATTCGGAAGCCCCATAAGTATTTGAGAGTAGAATTTGCCTCACAAGTGTAAATACATAATAGTAGAAAATATAATGCCATTTATCTTTTGCTAGATGTATCAGTTGTGCTATCTTATTATGTTGAATTGATACTACGTGAATTAAATTAACCTGTAATTATAGGTACCATAGTTTAAAAAACAAAAAAAACCCTTCCAAGTGTTCACTTTTTGGCACTAGGATGTTCCATGTCAAAATGACATGGTTGTTAAGCTTTTGGTTTTAAAGGTGTTTACAGCTATAACCGCAACCCTAAAGTATTTAGACTTAGGAACTATAGTTAAAGTATAAATGGGGAAGGGAAGTACAATTAGAGACACTCTTATTGGGCTCAGGAGAATAAGTCTGTGACCTGAGTGTCCCAAAGTTGGTTCAGAATATACTTGAAAAATCACAGATTAGACCTCTACTTTCTGACTGCTCTCTCAAACCAGCCAGAGGGATAAATTAAACTTTACGGTACCCTTTTAATGAAACATTAAAATCATCTCCCTGGCCCACCCCTTGGAGATATTTTATTTGATCAGTCTGGTAAAAAGCCCAGTTTCCAGTCTGATGATGGGGAAAAGCAAATACAGACATGCAACAGAAAAAAACCACACACACTGGAATAAGGCCACAAGGTTGTAGTGCGACAGCCCCTTACTTTTTCTTGTCCTTGTCTTTCTTGGTTTGTTGGGAACCAGCCTGTTGAGCCTGTGACTGTAGTAGCTGAGTGGCTGCCTTCTTCTTCTGGAAGTTGCTCAGCTCCTCCTCAAGCTCCTTCTTTTTGTCTTCCACTTTTTTCTTCTCTTCTTGGTGTGTCCGCTTGAGATGATCGAACTTTTCATGGAGCTGCCCAGACAGGGAGGGGATGATGGAGTTGGAGGAGAGGGGGAGAGAATATTGCTTTTTGTTATTTGTGTGAATTACAGCACTTCCTACAGGGGTCCCACAGCTCTAGATGCTCTCCACACACGTAAAGCAGAACTATAGCAAAACTGCAGTGCCTGCCCTGAAGAGCTCCCAATCTAAGCAGACACGACGGCCAAAGGAAGTAGTCTATAACTGAAGTAGAGAAAGAAATAAGGGTCAGATTGAAAATCAGTGGGACTTACGAGCCTAAATCCCGTTTCTAATGCATGAAGAAGCCTAAGTCATTGAGGCACTTTTGAAAATTTTGCCTGAGGTCACACAAGACAGCTGTGGTAGAGTTGGGAATTGAAGGCAGATCTTCCCAGTCCAGGGCCTTCACCACAAAACCAAGCTTTACTGATCTCAAAAAGAAATTTTCCTAAAGGGATTTTAAACAATCCTGGTATTCTACAAGGAGGAGCAAAGTATGGAGAGGTATCGCTGGGTGCTTATGTACTAGTTATTCTGCCAACGGGCTTCAGGGAAAGTTAGGATTTCACCTTTCGCTGCAGGAAAGCTACGTGTGAAGAGAACTGCCTTAAACATCTATTTCATTCACGTATTGACATGAATTTGAGATGACTGCATGAAAGACCCAAGCCAGCTCGCATTTCTCCTCCACCATATCTTCTGGCTTTCTGGGGACTGCTAGATAACTCATTCCCAATTCCAAGCACTGGGAAGGTTACAATGATGTGTCTTGTTCACTTTAACGAACAGACTCATACAATTTGTGTTTTCGTTTGTGTAGTGACAAACTGTTCTACATTGGTGACCAGCAAAACTGCTACGTGACCACCTGATGAAAAGCCCTCCAGAAACTCTCTCATGCTCTCGGAACATTCACAGGTGTCTGTGCACTTACACGCTCAGGGCTTGATTCTCCTCTGCCCAGCACCATGTGGGGACAGCTACATTTGCACAAAGCGAGTAGACAGTGGGTGCAAAACACTACCACTCTGACCCGGTGGCATGTTACACCCCCTTTGCAGAGATATAATGGGACGACAAGGTGCAGGGAGGCAGGGAATCGGTCTTAGAGCAGCTCCTGTTGAAATGGCCCTCTTGGATTATGACAGTTCGGCTGTGCCCTTTGGGGCTGCACTCTGAAAAACCCCGACTCTGCAGTGGGGGGTGGCAGTCCAGAGAACAGTGCTGAGCTGCTGAAAGGCTCTATGCAGCAGCCAGGTTTCAAAGAACTGTAATGGTTGAAACGTGGCCCCTTCAAAGACAGATAGTCTGTAGCGCTGGGTGCCATCCTGCAAAGCCATCAGCTCCCCAGACTGCAGCTGTCCCCAGTATTTTGGGCGAAGGGGAACCACTGAGCTGTATGACCTAGCAAGTATGCGCCTTTCATTGGGCAGGAAGGATTCCCATCTGCAGAGCCAGCATGACATGGTGGCTGGGGTTTTATCAAGAAGCCTGAGGGAGTTCTCTGTGCCTATGGTATTTATCTGCTGCCCCCCTTCCCCCTATCTGAACCCCTCACAATCTTCAATGTCTGTATCTTCATAACACCCCTGAGAAGCCGGGAAGCGCTATTATCCCCACTGTCCAAATGGGGGAACTGAGGCACAGGGACCTTCGGCCAGGTGTTTAAAAGCGTTTAGGTATCTAACTCCCATTGAAAATCAATGTAGGTGCCTGGACACCTTTAAAAATCTGGCCCTAAGTGACTTGCCCTAGGTCCCACAGGAAGTCTACGGCAGAGCAGGGACTTGAACCCAGGTCTCCCAACACCTAGGCACATGCCCTAACAAGTGGGCCATCCTTTCTCTCAGACTACCAGTGGGATCCAAATGTCAAAATCCTTTAGGCCCCTTTCAAGCTCCCAGCGTAAACCCCCGCACTAATCCTTTTGGTTAGAAATCACTCACATCTTTCTCCGCTTCTTTCAACTCTGCTTCTTTCTCCTTCACTCTCATGACAAACATCTGTCTCATTTCTTCCTCCTTCTTCTGCAGCTCACCCAGGAATTCATTCCTCTTCGCTTCATAGGTCTCTTGGAGACTATTAAAAATACACAAGGGAAAACACAGTCAAGATTACGCTTCGTGCATGGACCAGAGATATTCACCCAGGCTTTGGGCCTCTTGGCATGTCACCCCTCACTCAGCATCGCCATGGAATTTCAGAGAAGAGACCTGATCGCATTGTCCGGATCTCCATTCCCGTTTTCTGGAAGGCCGCGGTTTGGGAAGTTATATAAAAGGCTTTCAGAGTCTGCAAGTCAGTTAACAGGCAGCAAGAGTGACTCAGCTTCAAAACCAGCTACTGCATATGCATTTACTGCAATTCAGCAGCTAACACAGCCTTCCACGCCTGATCAGTTATACATTTCTGTCTGCTCCCAATCTGCTTGCCTCATCTTCTGTTTGTCCTGCATCTAGCCTACATAGGATCCAGGGTTAACAGAACACAGATTCTGGGCTGGTATGTTTGGTAAAACACTATTATTCTTCCTCTGAATCACCATCTTTTACAGCTTTAATTTCTTCATTCCTCCATCAACACAAAGGAATCTGTTTCTTGACACTGATTTACTACCCAACGAGGAGATGCTGCAGCAGACCTCTGGGGGATAAAATGGGCCAACACACACGTACACAAAGAGCTGCGATTTTCAGAGTCGCTCAGGGGATTTGGAAGCCAAATTCCCATTTATTTTATTCCTTTGGTGGCTTTGAAAATCTCAGTCAAAAGGATAGCTGGAGTTTGCCAGCAACTCTTTTCCCAGGTTACATTCCTGAGAACAAACAATCCCAATTAAAGCTCCATTGATATGGATTTTGTGTTTACACCCAGGCTACTTTCTATGCGTAGGCACAATGAGGACAATTAAAACTGAGTTAGTGAAACATTTGCCCCTGCTTCAGGCCAGTGCTTTATTCTTCATTGCGTGCAGTGATTTTCTTTGTTAGTTCCTCCTGCAATCCCAATCAAACATAGCCTTCAGATTGCTACATCTCAGGCTTAATCTTGCACACAGTGCTGAGTAACCCCAGCTCCCACCAATTTCCCCACAGCCCCTTGCAGGAATGGGTCTCTCATGAGCTGCTCTTCTGCACTATCAACCACAGACAGAGACAGTCTCATGATGCCAGCTGACCTAGCTGGGTTCCCAGCACTTGAATGGTGGAAGTCTCATAGGGTTCAGTTCTCGTGAGATTCTCACCATCTGAGAATGGAAAAATGAAAATGAGCTTCTTTTGGATCTGGACTGGAAACAGTCCCAGACTGGTGGTAATAGGTAAAGATCCAGACAAACGAATCAGAATCTACCTGAAACTCAATTTTCGATGGAAGGTTCTGTTTGTGGCCCATATCTAATCGAAATCCTGTAAATGTCCAAGTATAGGCTCTGGATACACTACCTTCTTCATCAACAGAGCTGCTAGCACCCTGTGCGTGCTTTCAGTTTTATCTGTTCGTTTGAGTGAAGATTAGAAACTGCAGTTGCAATATAGTATCCTAGAGAGCAGCAGAGCCTTACGAAACCAAACTGAAAGCACTCCATACTCAGTTAATCATATCCTGCCTTGCAACCCACATCTTGGTCACAAACAAAAGAGCAGGGTGATGTGGAAGGCGGAAGGCTGGCCAGCCGATGCAGGATTTTTTCCAGCGACAGACAAAATTACTCATTTTTACTGATATCACCTTATTATTTTAGCCTGGCATTTGCAGAAGAGCCTACCAAAGTTAGGCCCTCAACTACAGTTGGAAATCCCACCCTTCGTGCGAAACTTTCAAATACGTGAAAGCCAGCAAGCTACATTGTTTGTTGATGTAATACCACTGACTTTCTTGGAATTCGTCTGGGCCAAATTCTCTGCTGGTAGAATTCCATGACTTCCCTAGAATTCGTCTGGGTCAAATTCTTTCCTGGGGCAACACCGCTGACCTCTCGGCCGTTATGCCAGCAGAGAATTTGGCCCAGGAATTCAAAATGACATATGGAAAACTCACTGGAGGCGTATAAAAGCAAGGCCATTTGGGATTTCAGGAACTTCTTACAGTCACAGCACTCTAGAGACGCTGTTACTTCAGCTATCAAACGAAGAGGCATAAACCTACATTCCAGAGAAAACTCCCAGAATCTGAACATTTACATCCAATTAAGGAAAACATGTTTCCAAATTACTGTCAATTGAAAAAAAAAAAAAACGTTCTAGCTTTTATTTTAAAAATCGATAGGCCACTTAACAACCCAAGCGACGGAGAAAGGATTCCACAAAGAGGAGGAAAATGCATGGGAAGCAAGGAGAGTACAACAGTAAAGAGACGCTGTCTGTTTTTTGTGGGGTACAACCCACCTCTTCTCAAACAAAAAGACAAAACCAAAAACCTTCTGTTAGGAACACAGACACTTCCTCCTGTTTTAGCACCTCTTTGAGCCTGCACGAGCAGTGGCCTGCATTCTTGCAACGAGCTTAATTTCACTGACACTGGCCTCATTTACATGCTTCCTTTCTGCAATATCCTGTTTAGTGTAAACAGTTTGCTGCGGTCTTATCCAGCTTGCTTAAGATTAATAGAATACTTACTGCTCCTGACAGAGTAATGTAAACCAGCTGAGGAGCTAGGATTGCTGCGGACATGCTCTCTGTAGACCACGACTCAGACTCAAGGGAATGCATATTTGCTTGCTTGTCTTGGGAGAAATAATGGATACCCTCCCTACACGACAGTTTCCCTCATTTTGGGAATACAACTACTGCAGGAAAAGGGGGTGGGGGTACTTTAAACTACTAGCATCCACCCGATGTATAAAATTAGGTACTTTCCCCATTTCCTTTCTACTTATAAACTTGAGCAAAAGTGGCCTCAAGTACACAGGAAGCAATGGAAATTCCTTGGATTCCTGAATGGGAAGGGCTGAGCCCATCTTAAGTCAAAAGAAAAGGAGTACTTGTGGCACCTTAGAGACTAACCAGTTTATTTGAGCATAAGCTTTCGTGAGCTACAGCTCACTTCATTGGATGCATACTGTGGAAACTGCAGCAGACATTACACACACAGAGACCATGAAACAATACCTCCTCCCACCCCACTCTCCTGCTGGTAATAGCTTATCTAAAGTGATCACTCTCCTTACAATGTGTATGATAATCAAGTTGGGCCATTTCCAGCACAAATCCAATAAATTGGTTAGTCTCTAAGGTGCCACAAGTCCTCCTTTTCTTTTTGCGAATACAGACTAACAGGGCTGTTACTCTGAAACCTGTCATCTTAAGTCATTGCTCTCTGGAAAGGAAATCAAACTTCAGCTGGTTAGAGAGCAGGGGACCAACGCCCCTCTCACTCATGCAGGTGGAACTTTGCCTAGTCATTGAAGCTTAATACTGGTGTCAGTCTGGCCTAAGCGAGAGGGATGCAAACTTGACCTTCCATACCGGGGTTATATGAGCATTGGTGTGAGGAGAACAAGGCCGTATCTTTACCTCGAGCTATGGAACACACCTGGGTTTAATGTTGCCAAGGATCAGAAAGAAATCCTGTTTGCAGTGATTGGTGCCAGCAGACAATCTGCAATTTCAAGGATTGCACACGCACCCCCCCCCCCACAGATTTAGGCACAGGCTGACTTAGTGGCATAATAGTGGCAATGCAATCAGAGTCTAATTTTGGATCTAACTCACTCCAGCCAGGAAAGACTTGGGGTGCTGAAGGGGCAACATGTTTGGCTGTTTGGATGAGGGAAAAAAAAACAACCCCAAGGAGAATGTAGGAGGGTAGAGAAGGAAAAACAAGTGCTGTCACTCACTAGTGACTCACACCAGCAAAGAAATATGGGCTTTGTTATGCTTTCATACCTGAATGGTTTACTATCAGGGTCAGTGTCTTTGAATCCCATTTCTTCTAGCTTACAGCGCCTGTACAATTCATAGTGCCGGGTGTGCGTCTGCTCTCTCAAGTCCTCCATGTTCACTCGGATCAACATCTCACGCAGCTTCACAAAGTCACAATGGTTTTCGTTTTCAACTGCAAAAGAAACGAAAAGAAAAACAGCCCATCAAGAAAGAAAAAAAGTTACATCCAGCGGGTTTTCACCATTCCTCTTTCTTCATGGTTAGTATTTACTGTGCACAGGTGCATGTCTATGCAGCTTGTGTATTAGTCTGGAGTTCCACACGTCAGGCAGTGTTAGAAATTAGGGGCCCATGTTACTGCAGTGTAAACTGGGTTCACTGTAAATGGGAATAAAGCACTAGGTTTCCTGGGAATGAGGGGAAACTGACACGGCACATGACTAGTATGAGATTTCCAAATGTTGCTAGCTTATTTCCTAACCCTAATTCACTCAGAGATGTTGCTCTGATTTGTGTTGTATGATAGAGCGCCTGGCGAGTTTCAAGTTGCTCAGTGAGAAAACTGCCGAAAAATATTCGAACAGCTGAAGAATTATTTTGCAAACACTCTTGCAGTTTGTTGCACTGAGTCTCTGACATGCTGCTTTCCAGTCAGGTACCTCTACGTCCCCTGCCTGAATGCGTACCAAGAGCAGGGCATCAGCACTATCTGTGCTGGCAGGATTAGACAATACAGTGGTAAAAATAACTAGGCCCTCTCCATTTCACCTCATCCACTGTTGCTACCACTTGGGGAGCTGCAGTGGGGGTGAATTGCAGGGCCTAGGCTTTGCCAGTGTCTATACATTCTGGGTTGGTTTTTCAAACATGAAGGGTATGTCTATACTGCACACTAAAGCAGGGGTCTGACTCAGGTTTGAGTCCAAGCCCCCCTTCTGTCCACACACAATTCAGTCTACCTCACATCAGCAAGAACTCAGGACCTGGGTCCCTTAAACCTGGCTAGGGAGGTGGGTCAGAGCCCAATTCCTGCTGAGACTTGGGTCCAAGCCCCTGTTATTTTGCAGTGTGAATGCAGCTTAAGCTGCAGATCTGAGTCAGAAGGTCTGAGTAGTGCAGCATGGACGCACTAGCACAGCCGTGAGACCAGGGGCCAGCAGTTGTAAGCCCAGGTTTACAATGCAGTGTGGACACAAGTATGGGCATGGAAGCAACAAATCCACAAGCCCAGCTCCCACACACCCAGGCTTAGCATGCAATGTAGACATGCCCTCAGAGACAAGTTCTAGTCGCAGGTAGATGCAGGGTTTCCATTGACTTCCAGAGGAACCAGCACATCCAAGGGAAGAATTTGGCCTTCATTGGCATTTTGTTAGAATTTCAGGATGAGATTTTCACAAGCACTCAGCATTTGCTCAACTCTGATCCCATTTCAATCAATGAGAAAACTCCCATTGACTTTCATCAGAGAAGAGTAAGGCACGTGCTGCATATTCCTTGAAAATAAAGCAAACCATTCACCTGTCTGACCATTCCCTGTTATCGGAGTTAGTTTACTGGCACAGAAATGTCAGGAACACAAAAAGAAAAAGAAGTTACAAACGAAATATTTGCCAACGTCTCTGAATTCTAACCTGCTCTTCCCCAGATCAGAGAGTCAGGTTGTGGATTCACGCCTTTCACAAGTGACCAAGAGACCAATCTCAAGGTTAAGAAGTGCTTACGAAGCCCTGTTTTGTTTTGCTTTTTAAATGGCCTTTTTGCCCCTGACCACTGCAAAGTTCTTCCCGCCCAACGCCAGAAATTGGCAGACAGCCTCAACAGATCAGCAATTTTTTAAAAACTGGATGGCATAAAACAAGGAGTTTTTGTTTGTCTTTGGACATACCCTGCACAACCCCCCATGGATACTGCCTGGCCTTGCTCATCTTATTGCCAATCTTCACTTCTTCAGTACTGCCAACAACAGCAAATGGAAGATGGACCTACAAAAGCAAAGAGACAAAGAGATTAGGGATTTCCTGTGTTGCTTTGCCAGGGAGTGTTTTCGAAGAAAGCTCTATTTACTATAGCAGCTGTGATTTTTTATTTAAAGTTACTAAAATGCCTTTGCAATCCAGCTGGTGTCTTTGGATGATCAATGGAGGCTCTAGATCAGAGGCATGCTCGGACTTCAGAAAGGAAAAATCTAAAGCAGATGAGCCACCTCCTACAAAAAAGTCTTAGTCAACTACAGCACTTGCATTTCATTACAACATGGACTTTAAATATAAAGGTCAGTGCACTTCACTGCAGCTTAATGCCCAACACATTCATTTTCAGAACAAATTTAACCCCCTTGTTTTTTGAGATGGGATAGAGATGAAATCCTGCAAATGGGAGAGTAATGAGTTTTCTTCTATATCTGTGTCTATCAGATGACTGTACAAATGTTAAACCCGGAACCGGTGTCTTTTGCACAAGGCAATCAAAATGGAAACGGATTTGAATGTTAAAAAATCAAATGTCACACAGTAAAAACAACTATGCTTCTCAAAAGAAGGGGCCATTTAAAAAAAAAATAGTTAAAAATTAAACATTTGCCAAAAGCTTTTTAATCCAGCCATTTGCAGTAGCTAGAAGTAACTGTTCGATCTCCCAGGCAAAGGGCCAGGCGGTGACTGCAGACACAGCCCTAAGCAAGAGGTGGTGTGTAAACTGCACCACCACCAGAGGCAGCCTTCCTCACAACTCATCCCTGGCTTCCTACTGGGTGGGTGGGTGGGTATTAATTTGCAGTTGGCCCACACCAGCAGCACACTTGGGACCCACTATGGCCAGTTGTGCTAGCCAGTAAGGAGAGAGCCTGAGTATGAGTGGGGAGAAGGTAGGGAGAAGAGATGGAGTGAGGCTCCACCCATTTCCCACTGCCCAGCTGCTCTGGGAGAACGGAGCAGAGAGACCAGGACGAAGGCAGCTGATCAAAGCCCTGCAAGGGGATTTGAGACAGTCCCAGCAGCTGGAAGAGATGCTCAGAACCCCTGCCAAGAGGAAGCTAGGCCTGCACGCCAGCCTCTGGAGAGCTTGGCCAGGTGGTATTTTCATAGCCTGTCCTTTGAAAGGGCTGGTATGGACCAACGGGTGAGTCCAGAGACCAGTGCCCAGCCAAGCCAAGAATGAGGCAGATGGATGGGAGGAGAAATCATCCCCGCCTGGCCATGGAGCAGCTGCAGCTCCCTCATAAAACAAACTTCCACTGGCCCTTCCACTCAGCCCCAAAAGGGTGCAAGTCAGAGAAGCAGGATGTGCTTCTCCTCCCCTAGCCCACCCCACGTGCCTGCCTCTCCCTCCCTCACTGCCATGCGGGTTGATTGCAGGGCTGAGCTATGCATTGTGCCAGGCACGCACCCACTGGAATTTTGCCCGCCTTCCCTCTCGGAGTTCTGCTACCCCAGAGACATAGGGGCTGGATTTCATGCTGCTCACCCACTCCTGCTTTCCTGGAGCATCCAAACTCTCAGGCTACATCCACACTGCAGCCACGAGTGTGCTTCCCAGCATGGACAGACGGACATACGCTAGCTCTGCGAGCCACCCGAGTACCTACCCAGGGGTGTGGGCTCATACATCCTTGGCCAGCTAGCCCGAGCGGCTGCCTGTGCTCCCCCTGAGCTCGTGCATGTTGCTCTACCCTGTGCTGGGATGCTTGCTGCCAGCTGCAGAGCAGACATAGCCTCAGGTCACGTCTCTGTGCAACCACATGACCAGAGCTCCAGGATGGACCCTCAGAGGACAACTCACAGTTTAGTGCTGGCACCACAGACAGCAGGGACAGCCTGCTGTTTAAGGCACTGCCTGGGTTCAGCTTGTGCCTCTGGGAAGGCAGCTAGACACAACATGGTCCTTCATGTTTGTGAGGTGCTGTTAAGACAGCAGCAGGCACCAGAGAGATTCCCAAGAAACAAACTTCAATATATATTTTTTAAAAATACAACAAAATAGAAATAGTTTTCTTGCACTAAGTGTGGCGAGAAATATACTCTCCTCTCAACCAAGCACAGCTAATGTGATTCTAGGTGGCCCAAGTCGTAACCATGAGCTATGTTGTTAGAATGGCAAAAATGGCTGATCTCCTCAATTCAATGGTTCGAATGACCAAAAACGAGAACAAATAAAATCTGTGTTCCAAGCAGCCAGTCAGCCCGGGACTTCACCTGGGGAAGAGCAGTGGGGGAGTGTTGAACCTTTGCTTTCACTAAAGAGAACAAAGAATAACTGGGTTCAAAAAAGAACTAGATAAATTCATGGGGGGTAGGTCCATCAATGGCTATTAGCCAAGATAGGCAGGGATGCAACCCCCGGCTCCAGGTGTCCCTACCCTTGGACAGCCGGAAGCTCTGGACTGGATAGATGGATCACTATATGCAGTACAGCTCCTAGCACAATGGGGCCCTGATCTTGGTTGGGGACCTCTATGTGCTACTGTAATACAGTTAGAGGCAAAGGGCTTAGATTCCTCCTCTGCTTTTTCAAACAAGCCTCCCGGGGTGCAATTCATCTCTCCCTGCGTAACCCTTGTGTAAAGACCTGCCTACACTAGCTTTATTTCCCTAAAATCTCTCTTATTGCTACCACTGGTGCAGTTTGTGCTAGCAGTCCCCACCACTTTAACCACCGCACTACCCAGAACTGCTCCACACGGGACCAGAGCACCAGCTGCCTGATTCTAGCCCTCCCCCAGAAACTGAATCAAAGGAAGGTGAAGTGGATCACCCAGCAACAAGCAATGAGTGGGAATAGGAGGCCTTGCTCCAAGTCCTCTGCCCTGATCACTCTGCCCTCCGGGGATATGAATATTTAGTAAGGGGGAAAGCACATGGGAAAGGACACGCTCAGCAGAGAAGAAATATTTTCAAGCCCAAGCCCACCCCGTTTTATTAAGTCCTGCTGACCAGAGCGGAGGGGGGGCTTCCATCAAACTCTATTTATTGGCTCATGTTTGAGTTTCAGTTGGAAAAGCAAAAGGATGCAGCATCCCCCTGCCCTGGGGGTGGGGATGGATGGGTTCAGAAAAACAATACTTACACTCATTGTAGCATTTATCTCAGCCACTGTCTCTTCATCTGTGGGGAACTGATAGATCTGGACACCATTGCTGACCAGCTCACTCATGATTTTACTCTTGAATTTATGCAACTCGTTTTTTGCAATCGTATCAGCTTTGGCTATTATAGGGATAATGTTAACCTGCGAGGCAAAGAGAGCGCTGTCATTTTACTTTGCCAATGGCCTCATAAAGGACACCTCCCTCAATATATTCAACCAGAAGAGGACAAAGAACATGGCACATAAAAACAGTGATGCAATACAAACTTTCTACTAGAACAGAAATTGCCAGTCCATCCACTGCATTTGATATTTTTGGGGGGGTGGTGAAGCAAGCAACGTTGGCTGAGACAGGATTGCGCCAATCGCTTTTCATGTGTAGAGAAGGGCTCCATTAAAAGTCAAATGCAATTTGGCAACATGTTATTTCCTCTTCTGTAGCAGTTGTTTACTTTTCTAACTAGGGCGGAGAGGAAATGCTGTCAGACAGACTATCCAAACAGTTCCAAAGGAAATTACCATCTAGGCACTCATCCTCTTCAGAGGTGTAGCATGCTTAACTACTCTAGAGCTCACCTTCAGAAAACAGCCTAGAGATTTATCCTTGAGCACCTCTACAGCCTAGTATTAAAAGGAAATGTTCATATAAGATGAACAAAGTGTAGGGATTGGACAGAGATGAATTGTCCCTTTATTGCATTGGCCTGAAATGAGCAACCTTGTCCTCCCCCATTAAAGAAGCTTGCATCCCCCCTATACTGCTTAGGGGAATCGCACCAAATGTGGCAAACTTCAAGTACATACAGGAAGAAACTGGACGCAGAGCCAGATCCTCAGATGGAGCTACACTAATTTACATTGGCTGAGGACCATGGGGCGATAGGGATCAGGGAGCTTCATGCAGGCCACAGCTCTGCTGTGACAAATGAAGATCATCTGTGTATCCTTTCTTGGTCTCTCTCTCGCCCTAGATTGCTGGCTGTTGTAACTTGCTTATGGTCCCCAAGGGTCTGGCCTATCCAGCTCACCACAGCCATAGGTTAATGTAGCTCTTGCTCAACAGTGCCTTTTAAACCAACTCTGAAAAGACCAGACTGCGAGGTGTGATCTAGGGTTGATTAGTAGCCTTCCTTCATTTATTCTGCCCTGTGGCAATATAAAATGCTGCTACAGTAAGGAAGACGTTAATATGGACCTATATGGAGACATTTTAACTACAGTACTTGAAAATCCTCTTAAATTATATAGACTAATTCCTTTCTGAGGATGGCCCTGTAACAGCAACTAATCCCTGTCCAGGGAGAAGTTAAGACTAGTGCCAATTACAGGCAAATTCTCAGCAAATCTCTGCAACTACAGAACAAGACGACTCGAAGCTTTACCCACAACATCATCATCATCATCAGGCAACCTGTTACGAATTCTTCATGGCTCTTGGGCTCCAGAGTCACTCAATAGACGTGGAACGTTCTACGCATATGAAATGAAGAGCTCCAGCTGCCCGCTTTACTGTCCTGCACGTATTTCAAACCAGAATGCAAGCAGCTGACCATGTCACAGTGCTGGTGGGCAGAGGGCATTTAAGTATTTAGGAATACCAGCTTCCTTTCAAGGGGCTTGGGTTTTCAGCTAACTTTTCTCTGCTAAAAGATGCTCTTGAACATGAAACATTTGAACAGGAGCTTCTCTTTACCCATCTGAGGGCTAAATCAGCGCCCCACCCACTGCTAGATCCACTGGCTATATCATCAGTAAGGATAGTTTTGCCTGCAGTGCAGAATTGCTGATCAACTATATCAAACAGTGTTTGGCTGTGGTGGGGGCATTTGCAGCAAAGCACAGAGGAGTTTTGACCCCCAAATGCCATAAATGTGGCTCTATTGGTATGAAACGAGGGCCATCCTTGTGAGCACACACTACAGTTTCATTTGCAGCAGCCTGTTTCAGGATTGCTGCTCATTTGGGGCTGGTGTGGAGTAAAGTGGGTGATGTTATCATTCTAACTGGACATGGTGGACCAGTTTGGATGAAAAAGAACCCAGATTTTTGCCCAAATCCCAGTTAATGGGGAGAGCCTTTGAAAATTCATTAGTGCTAACCTGCTCTTGCTGTCGAGAAATCTGATAAGCTCTTTTAAGCCTTCTCTGCACTCCTATCCATTCACAGCTGCTAGAGAGAATGGGTATTTTCCTTCCACCTTCTGCTAGATCCTTGGCACGGTCACCAAATTAAGTGGCAGCAGGAGAGAATCACAGGGGCATGACATGGGTAGTGCATACCTTACTGTCGAGCTTCTTCATGGTGACTAGGTCAAGAGACTTCAGTGAGTGTCCCGTAGGTGCGATGAAATATAGGCAGGCGTGAATCCTTGTGTCATGGTAATTAAACAGGGAACGCTTGATCTTCAGTTCCTCCTGCAGATAGGCTTCAAACTGAGTGTCGATATATTCAACTATGGGCTTATAGCTGAAAATTTGGAAGGAACAGTTCTTTTCAGATCAGGGCATTCGCTATTGGTAAGTTACAGTCTAACTGGCAGACACGCATGACGTCTCATTGCCTTTTTTGGGGGTGGGGGCATGTCTAATTTTAAGACACTGCCATCGACCACCTTCATGTTCACCATGAGATTTTCTACTTCTGGAGCCAAGCCCCGTCCCCAGCCCATACGCCTTTCTGAATGACCATGTGTTTTATCTTAGACCAGAAGAAAACGCATCATACAAGATTTCAGCAATGGTGGATGGAAGAGAGCCTAGGCTTTCAAATCACGGAGGCCACAACAGCCTCGACACACACTACAGCACAAACCATTTGCTTGTCTGTATCATCAAGAGCGACCAGATACGTGTGATGCAAAAAAAATACCAGCTGTTCCAAACTCCGGGCTGTTATTTTAAAGGGAAGAGAGACTTACCTGGGATAACCAGTTCTCAGGAGTTTAGATTGCAGAGCAAAGCTGCTAATTTTTTTTTTTTTTTGACAGCTTTACTGGAGATGCGATCTGATTCATTAATTGACTCAGCCTTCAGAGAAGGGTGTCATGGTCCCAGCTCTGTAGTTCGTGCCGTTCAAACTGTTTGTTGCTGAGCGCTAGCCACCATCCGCCGAAAGCTGAGCTTAATGCAAGCCTGTTGCCGATAGGTTTCTAAGTTGGGGATTGATCCTTTGAGGTTCTGAGCACCCCTAGTTCCCAATAAAGCCAACAAAAGTTGGTAACCCACAGCATATGCAGGGTCAGGCCCTCGAACAGCAGGCATTCATTGGATTCCCCCTCTCCACCCACAACACAGTGCATGCTAAGAGAGCAATTGTCCAAATTCTTATCCCCTGGTTAGAAAACTTTAAATGAAGTCAACTAAACAATCTTTCCTGCAGCTAATGTGCACTCAGTCCGTTGGACACAGTGTCCAAATCCAAATCCCGAGCTGCTGTAAATCTGCGACTTCAACAGAATGAGGCCAGTTTACACCAGCTGAGATTCTGGGCCTCATTTGCCAGACCCCAGCAAAAATAATGCCTCAGCCTATTTTCCCACCCTCCCCCTACCCTGGTTGGCTCCCTCCTGGGCTTTAAAAGCTGTGGCTCATTAGCAGGTCCCCTGTTCGAACCCACTGACATTCATTCACAGGAAATACAGCTTCAAAATCCCAGCTTTATATTCACATTTTAGAGCTCCTTCGAGACTGAAATTAGAGTCAGCTATTTAGAAGACACTGCCCAGATTAAACAAAGGACAAGGGTCTGCTCCATTTAATGTTCTGCTGTTTAACCTGCCCCGGGGCCAGAGAGCAATGCAAGGAGTGGGTATTAGTTCTGTTAAGTGGAGTTACATTGAAATTCTGCTGCTTTCCTGCCATCTCCTCATCCCACTGCACTCTTGGGCACAAGAAAAAACACTCAGAGAAGCGACAGGAGCATAAAGCCATGAGATGTTCCCGACACTTCAGGTCTCACAGCAGCCTCATGGTGATAAGAGCGGACAGGATGAAGATGAGCCCGTTAGGGGTCACAGGTGGAGGAGCTGAGAACATTCCCTGTGCAGGTAGCCAGAAATGCATCCAGTATCTGAATCCAGAGCAGGGAACCAAGTCCGGCTCCAGACTGCAGGGCAGCTATTTGAAGGCTGTATGCAGCAGCGCATGATTGGGTGTGTGATCCACCACATTCCTCCCTGGTTTAGCTCTTGGGAGTGTAGATTGGTGCAGAATACGGCCCAGATCTAACAACCACCTGTGCAGGGCGCACGGTGGTCAGCACTGTTAACCACATGGCTTACAAAACAGCGGTCAAACACCTCACTGTGAGTGCTCAGAACACAGTCCTCCCTCCAGTCTCCAACCCCTGAGTAACACTGTCTGATCTGACACAGAGGATCCAAGGAGGCCTCAGACAATAGTGTATTGTAGAAGAGGCTGTGGCCATCTGCTTGGGGCCTGTCGTTGTCTGAAATTAGAGAAGATGCTGTACAAAAGGGTCACCAAAATGGTCTGGAAAGCCCTAGTCTGGTAGCCCCGTTGCTGCAGTCACAGGTGACAAGTCTCGGACTGTTCTGCGGCAGAGTTGGAATAATGGCTTTCCTGTGCCCGTCACGCTGTGGCTGCCTCTCTAAAGGAGCTCTGGAGAGTGAAGTCTGAGGGACTCCAATAACAATACTGCCTGCTCTTGCTGTCTGTTGAATGAATCAAACACAAAGTGACCCAGCAGTAACAAGCTGCCATGTTCCCATGCTGAACACCTGCTCCTTCTCTGACTTGCCTTCCTTCTAGCTTGAGAGCATATGGCATCGCTCAAAGCACAGAGCTGCTTACGGTCAACACACACTTCACTTTTCATTTCTCCTTTGCGGGAAGGCACACGGTGCGTTAGTTAAAAGCTGCTGCAGAGCAGGAAGAGCGAAGCTTGGATAGTTCACAACACACACAGCATTTTGGTGCAATCGCAGCCAATGGGGATGCTTTTTAAAACAGCAATGGCTGTCCAAAAACAAGACCAACCAACCAATGCCATGAATCTCGAGAAGTTTTCCATCAAGGGATAGAAATATTAAGACAAGCCCAACAATCTTAAAATACTGACTGGGATTAGGCGATCCCAGGGGAAGGCAGACGTGTTGTTTAAGTGTAAGAATGTCTATTCGGACAGCGCAGTTGGGCAGCCTAGAAATATTAAACAACAGTCTACATAGTATGTTGGAACGTACATGCAGAACGTTTACTTCTAGTCTGAAATGGGAAAATCTGCATCCAGACTAAAACCCATCCACATCCCAACATCACCTTAAGAACAAGGTGATCAGTGAGTTCTCTCTTGCTGAGGTCTGGAGGAATGAACGCCGAGTCAGGAATGCCTAAATTCTAGTCCCAACTTTGTCACGGATTTGAATGACCTTTCCGCAAGTCACTTCACTCACCATATCAGGTTCCCATTCATCAAAGAGTGATAGTATCTACCTGCTTTACACGTGTTGATTCCCTAGTTGATGACGAAACAGTGCTTTCAGCATGCAAAGCATTATCTAATTAAGTAATATTATTTAATACAAATTAAAAACCTACACAATTTAATAAGCTCATCTGTCAAACCAACAGTTTTCAGAAGCAACTTGACTTTTGCTTGGCATAATAAATCTCCACAATCCACTGCATTATTATTCTGCATTATTATTTCTATTATAGCAGTGCCTAGAGGCCCCCAATCAAAATCAGGGCTTCATTACACTTGGCACTACACGTGCACATAAGAAGATACAGTCTCCACTTTGAAGAGCTTACATTCTAAATAGACAAGACTGACAAAGGATGGGAGGAGAAAAAAGCTTAGGGTAGGTCTACACAGCAACTAGACACCCAGGGCTGGCCTGTGCCAGCTGACTTGGGCTCACGGGGCTGTTTCTTTGCTCCCACCTTGTAGGGTCCCAGAGCCCAGGCTCCAGCCTGAGCATAGAAGTCTACAAAGCAATTAAACAGCCCCACAGCCTGAGCCTGAGTCAGCTGGTAGGGGCTAGCTGTAGGTTTTTCTTTGCTGTGTAGCCATACCCAGAGAGAGCTGACGGGACCTATGCATGGTCACACAGCAGGTCAGGGAATAGAACCAAGGTCTCCCAAGTCCCAGTCCAGTGTTCTATCTGCTGGACTATACGGTTTCCTTAATCAGAGTGCCACTAAACCCAACTGCTACAACAGCACCAGGTTTGATGCTGCAGTCCTTGAGGACATTGGATACTGAATATTCCTGTAGTACGTTCAAGCCCTTCCAGCCTGAGGAGGAATCAATGCAAGACCCCCTTCCTATGCAAAAGGGACTTTACCTGTCATCTTTATTAATCTGATCTCCAAATCCAACTGTGTCAACAATGGTCAGCTTCAGACGGACGTTGCTCTCCTGGAGTTCATAGCTTCTTGCTTTCAACCTCACACCTGGCTCATTGTGGGTGGCTGGGTCACTTTCAAACTTTGTGTTAAACAGAGTGTCCATTAAGGTTGACTTGCCAATGCCGGTTTCACCTAAGCAGGCAGAAAATGGGTTAGAGCTAGAGACCACTTCGCCCCCCTACCATTCTGTCCAAAGCTCTCTTTAGAGCAGAGAGAGAGAGAGACATTGTTACTTCTGTCGCACCAAAAACACAGTGGATGGTTCTCAGACAGTGAGATAAGCTCTTCAGGCCTAGATGCCTTATAAGATGGCGGACATCTTGGTCAGCCACCGGGTTTTGAACTGGGGACTTTCAGAGTTCTGCAACAGCTTGAGCTGGGGTTGTAACAGACTCATTTCCCCTGCAGATCAGGCAGTGAGGGGGATCTGTAAGACATGCTCATCATTGGACTACCTACATCTTCTGATCAAAGGAAACTCAGCCCAAGTGAGCGCCCCAATCCACTATGTGATGGCTGCCAGTTTGGCAGACACCAGGTACCTCTAGAGCTATACGCATGAATTTCTACCGCTTCAGCCACGTTCTGTGGCTGAGAGCTGTAACTGACTCCCATTCTGTATGGATCGGGTCCAGAGGGGAGCACCACACACACACACACACACACCCCGCCTACCTATCAACCCCTGGGTTACATTTACAGTTATAGACGATGTATAGACAACAGATGGGATACCGCAAATACATAAGTAACCGGCACAATTATGTTTCATCATTTTTAGGAGGAGCAAAGGGTTAATAAATATACTTTCCTGACAACAATTTTGTTAACACCCCTCTTGGGGAGGGGGTGAATTAGGCTTTATAGGTCTCCTGGACTAGGTCTTCTTAGAGAAGAGATTGGAAGTGTTGTGGGCTGGGTAGGAAGCTGAAATGTGCAGCACTGGTCAACAGACCAGGTGAGTTTTCTAGATGGGGGAAAACAAGAGTTGCCTTCCGCTGAAGGAGCGGGAATCAGCCATTGCTGGAAGCAGGTTATTAGACTTGTTAGACCCAAGATGTAAATATGGCAAATCCTACATTCCTAAGTACACTTTTCCTTCGTGTTTTCTTCTGCCATTGCTGATTATTTTCACACTAGACTGATTGTTTATGTAATATCCTCTCTACAAACTCATGAAGAAGTTAATTCTTTGCCCAGACACTCCTCACACACTGTTTATAGGACATGTGCGTCCCAAATACTCCTAACTTGTACATAACCCTGGTACAGTATTCAGAATGCTGTCTCGAGAAATAACCATGCTCAAATTCCCTCTTATTATGAGCTAGACACTAATCTTAACAGCATTTTTCTTACAAAGAAACAAAGCAAAGGGACCCTCCAAACTCAGATTTATAGACTTTTACATTTTTTAAAAATTCCAATGGAAGCTGTTGCATTAGTCAAACATACAGTAAATTCAATTCTCCTGCAGTATTTTTCAAACTAAATCACTGTAGAATCAAATAATGAAAAAAATCAATAAAAATTAGATGACTTGATTTTCACAGTCTCAGCTGAGAGAAAGGCAAAAAAGTAAAGAATCCAAATGTGTGGCATAAATATTGACTTTTAAAATTCTTTCAATTTTATTAATTTGAGATGTAATTAGTAACACAGGTAAATGAATGTTTAAAACAGGATTAAGTGGAAGGATCTGTTCAAATGTACAAGCTCCAAGACTTTATCATCATTCCACACAAGATAGTAAATGGAGGGAGGTGTATATCGCTGGTCTAGGTCCTGTTGTGGCAATCAAATCAAAGTAGGCAAACCCCCGCATCCATGTAGATCCCCACAGAAATCAGTAATTATATTGTTTGAAGTCAATGGGACTCTGCATAGGTTCAAGGTCTGGATTTAGATCTAACTGCAGGATTGAGGCCTTAATGAGGAAGCCAGGATATAGATACATAGAAATGCAAGTTATTTCTTAAAGGCAACTTAAAAGGCAAAGGATTATAAATATTAAAAATCAGGTTTGTGCAGTTTTAGCTAATTTATGGTTAGGCCTGGCAGAATTCAATGTTTTGTATATAATAATTTTGATGGATAATAGAAATGTTTATTTAAGCATCGTTTTCCATCTATTTTAATTTTTACAGTTCTCCAAAGTTATGGGAGGGGGGCGGACAACAATTATTTAACGACAGCAAACGTTAAGATTCAAAAAATTAAAAAGTTTTGCACCTATTAAACACACAAATTGCCTACACTGCATGTCAAAATATACAAAGTAAATAGCCTTAAATCAAACTAAGTTCTGAAGCAGCATTTCTCTTACTTTGCCTATCTGTAAATATCAGTGGTTATCCATGGAAATATTTTTTGACCAGTTTGTGTACAGTGAAATTGACTTTCACCAGTAAAAATCTAATTCTTCCAAGCCTGATGTGTACAGAAGGATGGGAAGGTTGGGGTTTTTTTGTTTGTTTGTTTTTTGTTCTTGAAACTGCTTTTCTACTTGCTTTTTAAACTTAAAGGGGACAAGAATAGCAAAACTTGGTCTTCTTTAGTTTTGCTGGAGGGCTTCAAAGTCTGCTCATTGTAAGCACTAACACATTGGTAAAGAATCAGCACTCCCTTCCATTAAAGAATTCCTTTAACCAAAATGTTAGTCATGGAAGTTAACAGTAAGTAGGTATTGACAAAACAAAACTAAAAACAAACCACAGAAACCAAGAATTTAAAAGAGTGACTACCAATCTCTTTTCTCAAACGCTCAACTTGCATTCTTGTGACCTCATCATTGCACTGGTTATCACAGAGCATTCCAGGGCAGACTAGACATGAATTTCTAATGTAAAAACACAAGCAGGAAAGGGAGAAAAATTGTTAAAAGCAAAACCATTTTAAATATATTAAACAAGCAAAAAGGGAATCTATGGGCCCAATTTGTTTTCAAGTCACCACTAAGATACCTTGAGGGAAGGCAGTACTGAGGAATGGTGTCTTTCTGAAAGTAAAGGTGGTAATGTGAGAGACCTCCTTGTAAGAGGCCAGCAGCAAAGAGTAACCCGTCTGCGATGGCTGTTTCCATTTAATAACCAAAGATGATCAGCCTATTTTTAAGTAAGGACCGGTTTATTCGCCAGGGTCCACTCCGTTCACATATAGTAATACAGTGTCCCCTTTAAATAACAAAAGATCACTGTCTCTATTTGGCATGGACTATGGAAAGAAAGATTGGGTTCCATGAGAACAGCATGCGTTGAACCGACACTGCGTCACAGGGGGGGCGTCCAGACTACAATCACTGACTGTGACTGCAGCTGCGGCCAACATACCTGAACCAGATTTCATCTGGCTGGCTCGGGTACTGGAGCAGTGATGCCACGAGCGTGTGGGCTAACCCCACATGTAATTACCCAGCGACCCAGACGGGTCTGTACAGCCTGCACTGAGCCATGCCATAGCTTCACAGCTCTGGGTGCCGAGCGAGCTAGATTAAAGCTAGCTTGGATTTGCTGGCTCCGGTGGCAATCACCACCAGCTGTTGCAGGCTAGACATACCCAGGGTCTCTGCCCATTCAGCGCTAGCACTAGACAGCCCGCATTCCAGCAACCTGCCCAACGCTAACATTCAAGAGCCCACTCTCAAAGCAGCTGATCCTTCCCTTCTCACTGTGCTCTAAGGAAGGGTCCCAAATTGCAGAGCTGCTCCAGGTCAGAATCACACCACCCAGCTGAACCCAGACTTGTACACCTTTGGTTTCATTCCATCCCTCACAGGGCTGGTTTGGCATGCTCAGCTTTCTAGCGGAACCGTTTTCTCCTAGCCGTAATCCTTCCACCAAGGGAGCCTAAGATATCTATACCTATTCATTATTGTTTTCTCATTGGAACAATACCACAGCTCCTGCTTTTCTTGCATTGATTCACACGCCACATGAATAAGTCTTGATGCTTGCAAACATATACAGGCAAGGAATGAAACATTGGTTTGGGGCCTAAAACTAACAATATTTAAACGTGGATCAGTGTCCAAAAGCCCACTCCTAGCCTGTGGGATCAATGATCATCTTAAGGGGCCAGTAACCATGGAGGCTAGAAATGCTGGGATTTACAGATTTTCAAGGCGCTCCTATCCTGGAAAGTTGCACGATATACAGGGAGCCTTAAAATCATGTCATTCTCATAGCCATCTGGCTTTCCCTTTTGCTTCACTTCCCGCCTGGTTTTAGCTGCCAGTCTCTCAAACTGTTACAGCTGGAAAGCAATACTTTCTCCAAACCAAGAGCAGCTTGAATCCCAGCTCGCAAAGCTCAAAGCAATAAGGCTTTTAAAAATATGTATCTATATCATAGCCACAGACCAGCTCAATGTGGTCCCCATGAGGAATGCACTGTGCATGGAATTACTATTATTAAACAGTTCTACTGTAAATCACTAGAGCAGTGTTTGATGGCGAGCTGCTAAAGCAAACATAGCCATCATTGCATACTGTTCTCTGTGGCTCAAGACATGCTACATTTAGAAGCGTTACGTCACCATGCAGGAGCCAATTGTGTGCTTTCCCTCAAAGAGATGCCAGGTTTTTTTCTCCTTCCTTTGGACAATAGCAGCAACGTGTGTGTGAAATTTCTATTTGGAGCTTAACAAAAGTTGACCGGCACACTTTGAAAAAGAAAAAACGTGGAGCAAATTGCCACGTTAATGAAGACAAATTGAGTCACGCTAGGCTAGGAATGTTTACCGCAGGAGGAAAAAAAGCAACCAATTTATGCCATTTTGATCATCCAACTGCTTGCTAATCGGGAAGCTCCCTGCTGAATTTTAAACAGCTTCATGCTGCTAAGAGATGGTCAGTCGCTCTGGTCATATTTCTCCATGCTCATTCTCCTGTCTAGCTCCTGAACACCTAATGCTGCGAGTGCAGTCTAGTCTGGTTCGCCAGATGTGGATTCAGATAGCTGAAACTGCACTGTGGACAATATTCTAAACATGACATGAAAATCCAGTCAAAGCATTTTAAAAAAAAAATAAACCTCAAGTCCTTAATCAGAAAAAAAGAGAAAACATTTTGCTTCAACACATGAGCAATGGAAATAGTTTCTGGAACGTTCTGCCAAGCTAAGTGTTTTGTTTGCACACAGAAGTGCATTCAATGTTTGAGCAATTTTAGATGATATCTTGAAGACAACCAAGATGTTAAAACTGTTTTGACACATGGTTCCCCGAGTTTGAGCCATGTACTTTTTTTTTTTATTTGGTATAGCTTGAAAGTACTAATCACTGGAGGACGGGTGGGGGATGGGAGGGGGAAGAGGCAAGGTTGTTTTCCAACCCACAGATGTGTGTCTCCCCGAGACAATAGGATTTGGGATTTCAGCTCTGAATAATTGGGAGAAACAAAGTAACTAAGGCAAGTGAACAGATGCTGTACCTGCAGTACCCCGATTAAATATGATATAAATGAGGTGGTAGGCCTGATTCTCATTCACACCCACCTTAAGGCCCCCCGGCATTGTCAGAGCGAGGGAAGCAGTGGGGGCAAAAGACCTATCTGGCTTCAAGATTAAACTTGATAAGTTTATGGAGGAGATCGTATGATGGGATAACATGATTTGGGCAATTAATTGATCTTGACTATTAGTGGTAAATAGGCCCAATGGCCTGTGATGGGATGTTAGATGGGGTGGGATCTGAGTTACTACAGAGAATTCTTTCCTGGGTGTATGGCTGGTGAGTCTTGCCCACATGCTCAGGGTTTAGCTGATCACCACACTTGGGGTCAGGAAGGAATTTTCCTCCAGGGCAGATTAGCAGAAGCCCTGGGGGTTTTTCGCCTTCCCCTGCAGCGTGAGGCACGGGTCACTTGCTGGAGGATTCTCTGCACCTTAACGTCTTTAAACCACAATTTGAGGACTTCAATAGCTCAGACATAGGTGAGAGGTTTATTGCAGGAGTGGGTGGGGGAGATTCTGTGGCCTGCGTTGTGCAGGTGGTCAGACTAGATGATCATAATGGTCCCTTCTAACCTTAGAGTCTATAATAGGGCCTTATTATAACACAGAATCAGGCCCAAGCCCACCCTGTTCCAACACAGGCACATGAGAAATCTCTTGGCCTTACTCTCAAACGTAACGTGACTCATATATTAAAATGTTGACAGAAGCAGGCCTGAAGTCTGTACGTACAGCCTACGGTCAACCTCACCCCCGGGGGAGGGGAAAAGCAATTTATATCATCATTTAAAAAAAAACAAACTTGTTTAAAATGAAATCTGGGTTTAATACAAAATATATTAAGGCCCAAACATATTCCCTCTTCAAATTCCAAAAATAAACGCGTGCTTTCATTAAATTCCAGTTATCTTAATATACCTTGACACAAATCATGAGCAAAAAGTTAATCATCTAGTGAATAAGCAATATATAGCACTCACCATTTTCTAACATACTAAAATGTACAAGAAAGAATCAGTGAATATTAAAGCTATATGTTGCTGAAATAAATGTATATAGTGATAGCATGCCCTCCTAGGTAAGGAAAAGACGTACCAACACTAGTGTAAAGGCTCTATTTAGTTGTAAATCAACTTGTTTTAATGATTATGTCAACCAATGAGAATGCACCTTTCCTTAGAAAATAACTGAAGCACAAATGGAAAAGTTGATTAAAATCAAGGCTTTCCACTTAGTGATTTAAATCAGTCCCTCCCTGGGTCCTGATACTTTTATAATGCTCACCCTATTGGTTTATATCTTATCCATGTTATTGAATGGAAGGGTTTTTTTGTTTTTATTTATTCACAAACATACCCACCCACCCCTCTTTGTTTAAATTAATAATTTTCTTGTCACATGATGTCTTGATGTGAAAAGCCATTTTCTCAGCAGTGCAGCATCACTTACCAACACAAAGAATGTTGAAGCAGAACCCTTGAGAGGTTGATTTGTTGACCAGCTGATCTGGAAGACTGTCAAAGCCCACATGACCAGAGAGGGACAGGTTTCGAAGCTCGTCATTCTGAAAATCCCAAACAGAAATATTTGTAACAAAGATGTAGAACAACAACGTATGCAGGTGAAAGATATAGGAGTACCCGCCACTCTCAAAGGAGAGGAGAATAATCTCTCACTGGGACCCATTTTAGTCAAGGTGGTTGAGGGCAGGAGGGAAGGAATAGACAGAGTAGATTCTCAACCACTTATTCTGGATCATTTTCCTCCCCAACCCTCAATGTCTTCCTTGTGTGTGATCTATCCAACTCTCCTGGGGGGGTAGCTATCTACAATGCCCCCAAACCACAGGAAGTAGGTAGTTCCGTGCCAGTGACTGGCAGATCAGCAAGCATTAGCAAATTGCAGAGGATGAAACTGAAGTTCTGTGCCCCAGTTTCCACCATTCCTGTAGCCATAGAAGAAAAAAGTTAGGAAGCGACATACACAGTCAGACAACTAGGTACTGCAGGACTTCACTCAAGAGTAGTAATGATGTGACCACACCCGACCACGCTTCAATTTTAGCTGTGATCAGACAAGCCCCCACTACGGTGCACCTGGCGAGACAGATTCTCTGCCTTGCTTTGTTACCATTGGGCCGCTCCGGTGGTGCAGAGGCGATGGAAGCTGGTTACCTCTCCCTTGTTGAGGATTTCCCGTCTGGTGCAGAACGATAGGCAGCTTCTCCACCACTGCCCCTGCAACCCTTCAATAGGGGATGTGTTGGGCTGAGAAGGGGCTGTGGCTGGATCATGCTGACATCTGGCTAGCCCCAGCTGGCCCCTTGGGATTTTGACTTCACTTATTTAAATCAGGACTCCCGACATTGGAGAACCCAGCTCGCTATTCCGTTACATTTGTCATGGAAAAAGGAACTTCCCAGAACTCTACTAATCAGCACAGCAACATAGCAGAAAGGGGACACTTTGTGCTTCAGTGCTGACTATTGTTTTACGACAGCAGCAGGGCATTGTTCGCATTGTTCAGATAATGCTGCTAAAGCCAGCTAAACCCCTGGCTTTGAAAGGCTTTGGATGCCGCGTTCTGACAAGGACCATGTGCGCGCTGCTCTATGGGTGGTTTGGTTTACACATAACATCGTCGTAAGGTGAGAAAGCAGGGCAATCATCCCTTGGCTTTTTAACGTGATGCACAATTTCCCGTACAGAGTACATCTCATATTCCATAGCCTTGAAGGAACAGTACAGTCACCCGAATCAGATGCATTCTAGTCCTCATTCAGGGTCACTTTAAGCACCTGGGAAGGTTTAACCAGTAGTTCCCTCCCCATCCATTTGCCTCTGCTGACTTGGTCGGGCACCCTGAACTGAAAGACACACCAACAGATATTTCCATGGGGTTTATTGTACCAGCAAAGACCTCGCAGGATGAAGAGTTGGAGCAAGTCCAATGTTCTATTTAGAGAGTTTTCCACAACAGCTGTGTAATAACTTACATTTTAGTCTAGAAAAAAGCAGCCACACTAGTTAGCTCTTCTGCCAAATCACATCGACACAAATACCTTGAAAACAGATTACAGAACTCCATGAAACAGAAAAAGAGGTCATTCCCTGCAGCTTGTGTTGGGTGCCCCAGACTTCGGACCTTTAAATGTTTTCCAACGCCAGACATTTGCACAGGAGCTACTCAATGTATGTTGTATGTTTGCAACTAAATTATAATCCTGTATAGCCTGGGCCTGATCCAAAACCCACTGAACTCAGTGGGAGTCTTTCCCTTGACTCCAACTGGGTTTGGATCAAGTCCTTAGAGAAATGGTGTTTAATCTAGTTCTTAGGGATCATCCTTGTTTGCTGCTTTGTGTTCTGTTCTCCTATTTGCCAGTGATTTGCTGCGCAACAAGGGGCAAGTCATTGACCTTTCCCGTGCCCATTTCCCATCCAGAAAAACAGCAGCCCTATTGCTCAGGGTCTGTGAGACCAGGGCCTCGTCTACACTTCCAAGGGTTTGCTGGCACAGATATACTGGCGGAGGTATACCGGCAAACCCTGTTACCATATACTTGAAAGGGTTTCCCAGTGAAACTTAAGCCAGTTTTCTGAAGAGAGTAAGGTCTTGTCTACACTTAACTCACACCCTGACCAACGCAGTTAAACGGACTTAATTTTCTAGTGTAAACCAGGCCCAAGATTTACCAGCAAAAGGACTTTTTTGCCAGTATTACTGTATTTGCCAGCACAGATACATCCACTGGGGATGGAGAGAGAGAAAGTCACTCCCTTGACTGATGTAGCTATGCCAGCAAACCTGCTACACGCAGGCCAGGTCTAAGGGTGGGTTTTTCAAAGGAGCTCAGCACTGACCTACTCCCACTGAAGCAAGGGGGAGTTTTACCATTGACGCCAATAGGAGCAGAGTTAGGTGAAGGCCGAGTGCTTCTGAAAACCCTTCCCTTAATGTTTATGGAGAGCTGCGGGGGAAAGCACTATAGATGTAAAAACTGTCATTTCCATTAGAAGCCTGGTATCTAGGGGCTCTCTTGGCCATCCCCAAATTAGGTTGACACATGGTACACACAGGCAATGACTGCCTTTTCTTTCTTTGCATGCTGACGGGCTTTAGGCCCCCTCCCCCCGCAACCCAAATACCAGAATGCAGGTATCTGTCAATCACCCTTCACTCTAGTACCTCAGCAGCAGAGAATCATTAATGCCTTTTATCCTCACCACACCCCTGTCCTCTGGACATCTCCCGTTAGGAGGTGCACTTCGGGGGTAACTACTGGCAGGAATGTCCCTATCAGCGAAAGAGCAGGGAAAATCAGCATCAGGGCATGGACACAGGGCCTCCACACTCAATTCTGACCTCATGTAGATCCCAAGAGCTAGATGCGTCTTCAAGTGCTAGATCTGGACGCTGACCCCCTGCCTTCTTCTGTGGATAGCCAAGTACACTGACAACCTGAAGGAAGAATCCCTAAGACATTCAATTAACTGCAGGTCACAGGAATCTCCTACCGATACTTATGCAAGTATAATTCAAAGCGGGACTGGAGCCCTGAGCATTTACCGGAACACGAATGGGGTGACTAACATTCTGTGGATGCTAGACATTTTTTAAGTGTCCATTGAATTAAGTATTTAATGAAGCAGTGGAAGCTAAGGCCTGACCCACCAAGAAAGGTGGGTGTTAAGTACTCCTCAAGAACAGGCCCGTAGCTCTTTCAGTGGAGTATTTTAGGAAAGTGATAGTTTGTTTGTAAATGAGTTATTCAGCAGATCCAGGAGATAAGAATTTCATAACAGAATCATGCTGCACAACTGGTTTATTCTACTGCAAATTGTATGTGTGTGCTGGAAATGGCAATTATCTACCAAAAAGAGTTATCTATCACCAGAGTTGAACGCCATAGTAATCCAAACATTTGTCATAACTCATGCTACATCTTAGCCTGGAGGAAGCCCAAGGCAGAGCCAGCCTGGAACACACTAGAACCTTCAGGTCGTACTGCAGGGCTGGGCCAAGATCCCAGAGCCACTGCCTCCCTGCAACAGCAAGGAGAGGACAAAGCCAATCAGCGGCCACTCTTTGCAGCTGGTGCTCTCCGCAGGGCCAGCCAATTCTACTCAACAGCATGGGAGACCTACATTAAAAATCTCCGCTTTTCTGTGCATTAGATGCCAACGGGGTCACTGGTCTGCAGAGTCTGAACCCCTCCTGGACAAACGGGACCATACCGCATGGAAACACGACCGATTCTGCTGTGCACCGGGAATCCTACAGGGGGCTGGTCTGTGCAATGAGACATTAGTTGCCATTTATATTTGGGGAAAGCCAACGACAACAGCAATTAGTCTTGCAGGGGTGGAGAAAAGAGAAAGGGAGGAGTAAATACTGGCCCGATGTCTAATGCTGAAGCTATGCATTAAGCTTAAACAAAGAAGAAGCTGGATCTATTTTCCTCTCTATATTGGGCCAGACTGTTCCTGTGTGCTTTAAATGGGACAGGATAGAGGCGAAGGGGGAAGACGCATAGACCTGAGAGCAGGGTGAGGGTACAGTCTGGGCCAATGCCATTCATTATAGTGAAAGAGGTTGGGAAGGTGGGAGGGGGAGGGGAAGAGCCTTGAAATGGTTTTGTGGTCCTTTTTCAGGCACTTTACCACTTCAATTCTGGCACTGGGTAGCCACTGAGCCTGATCCTCAGCTAGGTAAATCAGCACAGGTTGCCAATGGAGCTACAACAGCTTACACCAGCTGAGGATCTGGCTCTGAACGTTAAACCCCAGGGTGGTCCCTTGTGTTTGCATGTGGCTCCCCCTATCAGTATCCAGTAGTCCCAATTACTGACCCTTAGGAATCCCAGGTACACAGGCAGGCAGCTTTGGATTATTAGTACAGACCAATATCAGCAGAGAAGGGAATGATTACTCCAGTGTGAAGACAAACTCCACCCCAAAGCCAGGCCAGGGAAGAGCTGCTCCCTGCAGAATGATCCAGACCAACAGCATGAGATCTGTCTTGGGGCCGAAAACCACGTCTGGAATTACTCTCCCCACTTTTCCTGCTATTTAGAAACCAAACCAAGCTGCATTAACTGGAGCGAATACACTGAAACTACACAACTGTGCTTTAGTCACTGGCCCTTGCCTCCACTCTGAAGAAGGGGCTGGGGTAGGCAAAAACTGCTGAAAAACTCCTCTAGCACAAAACAGTTTATGGCCGCAGATTTTATCTGGAGCCTGGAAAGGAAGCCACTGCAGTGGAGCAGTAAGTGTGACTATTTCAGTACATAATTATAAGACTGGGAGGATGATTCACTCATTCAGTGGGGTGCGGCACAAATATTTTAAACACAAAGATGCCAACTCAGATGGCCTCACTTATCTTGTAATTAGCTGTCGTGATGTGTGCCACACTGGAGTCAGTAGGCTAGATTCTGCTCTCAGGTACACTTATGTAAAACCTGTTCAAGGAACATAGGAAAGACTCCTGCCTTTGGGAGGGAAAACTGTCAATGTGACCTATTGTGATAGGTTTTTCCATCTAGAAAGAAATCCCGGC